GACGACGCTGGTACCGTCCTGCTGCTCTTTGGGCTTTTTGCCATAAAGGAGCAAAGCAAATGCTGAGGGCAGCCCACTTCTTGTTCACTAGACCCAGGTCCGAACTGCGCACCAGCTTTAGCAAGGGCCAGTTTCTTTTATGAACGCGGCTCATGCCTGCCTGGGCGCTTCAGAGCGGGAGCCAGCCCCCAAAAGCATGTGCCTGTTAGTGATGGGGCAGGAGGAACATCAGTCGCCTTGACGCCAAGGAGCAAAGCAAATGCTGAGGGCAGCCCACTTCTTGTTCACTAGACCCAGGTCCGAACTGCGCACCAGCTTTAGCAAGGGCCAGTTTCTTTTATGAACGCGGCTCATGCCTGCCTGGGCGCTTCAGAGCGGGAGCCAGCCCCCAAAAGCATGTGCCTGTTAGTGATGGGGCAGGAGGAACATCAGTCGCCTTGACGCCATCGAGCCCCTGATGCCTGTTTCCCTCTTGCAACCCAAGGAACGCGGTGCAAGACAGCGGCCCCTCCAGCAGCCTCCTGCCGTGAGAGGATCCATAAGGAGCAGGCGACGCGGTGCCGGGCCAGGGTGCATGTTTCTCCCCAGCACCCCGCGTGCAGTGCAGGGGTCGGTGTGGAAGGCAGCTGCGTGGCTGCAGCATACCCCAGAGAGCCCTGCCTGCTACCTGCCCAAAATTCCAAGAGCCTTCTAGAGACTGAGGGAGCATCAGGACTCAGTAAGACTGTAACGTAGGATGAGGAAAGAATGCCTGTCCTAAGGAATAAATTTCATTTGATTGACGTTTGTGCTTGCCTATTTTTGTCAAAAGCACAGATGACTAGAAGGAAGAGTGGGTTTAACAAGGCAGGGGTGTGTGTGTGGGGGGAGGCAGCACGACAGATGTAGCTGCCAGAATGACTCTTGTACATCTGCTTTCGTTAGCAGATCACAGCCCTTTCTCTCTGGCACAGCGAATTTGAGACTCAGCTGGGATTTTAGCCCTTTGAGAGATTTGCTGTCCCTAGCTATGTTTGTCTGAGGATCTTGGACTTCACGCGATACGGAATACTTACAGTTGAGGGCTTCCCAGCTGCCCTTGCAATTTCATCTGTGCTGGACCTAGAGTATGCTCACTAGCATAAGCACATTTTATCAAAAGAGTAGTAACAGCTGGACAAAGTTGTTGTGACCATCTCCACTGGAAAATACTGTTTCTTTGAAATTACCGAAGTCAAGTTCGACAAAGTGTCCAAGCAGATTTTTTTTTTAAGAGTAAAGATTAAACAACATTTTAATTTTTTTTTTTAACTTAAAAAAATCAAGATCAGGATAGATACTTTCATCTACCAAAGGACAACATTTTGAATGAGTCAAAATTATCTTGGGGATTTCCCCTAAAAATACCAGTTCCTGGGATCATGAAACAATTGAAAAATACCGTCTCTATTCCTTTTTTCCTGGTCTTTGTGGATTTGAGGAAATGCCTGACAACCAAACCACCGGGATGAGGGTTTTCCTTTCTAGAGCTCTGGGAGAAGTCCTGTGATGGAGCACATCAGCTAGGAGGCAGCTGGTGCTAGGAAGTCTGGTCATCCCCATGTCCAGGTAAGGTGACAGCTCGCCCGCATGGGGCAGCAGAGATGTGCCTTGACTAATCAAAATAAGGCTGCCAGGTGGAGAGCGAGTGCTCAGCTTGCAGCGTCTCGGTCGCTGTCTGAGACCCACAGAGACGGCCACAGTACTTGGGCTTTGGGGAGGAGCAGAAACCCTCTTCAGGGTCTTGAAAACTCTCCGAGGGATGCATTAGCACAGACCACAGCAGGGCCTGGAAGAACACAGGGCTAAGATTGAGCCTCTGAAATAGATTTACAAGAAAACCAAGGACAAGGGATGAATCTGGGCCTTTTAGTACAGCAAGATGCTGTGAGGCAGGAGTATGATCCTTCCGTGAGCTACTTTGCCACTAAGTATTCTGGCTGCAGCCTTTCCTGGAGCAAACTGACTGACGGGAGACAAAAGCCCCCAGCTTACAAAAGTTCACAGCACCACTTTTTCTTCCGGCCAGTGGCACGCTTATGTTGGTTTCCCATCAAATAAAGGGTGGGATCACCACAGGCTTTCGGCTATATCGTCTTTCCCAGCTGATTCCGTCCAGTCTGTGGCACGCTCTCTTCTCCTGCACCCTAGCGCCGTGCTGGCTGCAGGCCAGCAATGTTGGGTCTTTGTCCTCAAACAATGTGGTTAATAATACACTGTCAAGTTTAACACATCTCAGTCTCCACGGTCCCTCCAGATCAGGAGAGAGGAAACTCCACAGCTGCATTTCCCCAGGCAGGACTGCTGCCTGGTTGCAGCTTCCCAGAATGGGAGCATGTGAGTATGGCCTCGACCCTTTGCAGCGCTGCAATGCTGAGTATGCTGGGAGCGTGGTAGTGCCTTTTCTAGAGGCTCCTTTGGGGCAATATTGATTTCCAGAGAAAGTCTCTGTGGGAACCAGCCCCAAATATCCTCACTGTGTGGCAGAACAATCCTGAACTGCAGGGTAAGCAGAAGGTACAACAGGGAATGGCATGTATGCTATGCCAATATAAAGACCATGCTGTGCTCCGGGAGAACTCCTTCAATGTACCACCTTGTGTCGTCCTCCAGGTTGAATTTATACAGCTAGATAATCCAGCTCTTGGCACATCGGGGCTCACCTAGCCTGGGACCATACCCTGAGGCAGGACCCTTCATACAGGTTCGGTGATCCCAACCCAACAAAACCACTTAGTACCCCTCAGAGCACCAGGCTGAAACCACGCTGAAATCACTCTGTTCTTATGGTCCAAACCTCCACCAGGAGGGGGAGGCTCACCCTGAGCTCAACCCTTCCCCACACAGATCACATGGGGAGGACCATCCCTCACCCACAGCCTGTATTTAGTTTTTCCTTCATTGATAGCAAAACCTTGCAGGCTTTCTGCAGCCACTTATTTATTTAGAAGTATATTGACTCCCTGAATAAAATGGATTTTTCTCTAGCATGGAAGAGAAGACAGTTTCATGTTTAGCATTTCTTCTATTCCTTACATACAAGTATTACTTCGAGTTGTATTGTGTTCACAGTTCCTCCTGGAAATGAGGGGGGAAAAAAAAGTGAAAGCTCAAATTATTTGTGCTTTTAAACA